CTGGGTACACTGGCTCTTGGATCTAAGGAGGCGCTAATTTAGCCTCTGCCTGAGGCTACCCAGCAGGAGCTACGAAGAGATCTGCAGATTCCCCTTCCTTGTTTGGGGTTTGGAGGTGCCCAGATGAGGCCCAGCTGTGAAGCAATGCAAGCTGCTGTGGGGCCTTGGACCCTCTTTTGGAAGTTCTGGGTCTCTCTGATTCAGCTGCAGTTTGTTAGGTAATTTTCAGGTTGCAAAGGGCCAGGCCTTTCATATGCAAAAGCCTCTGCGGACAGCTTGGGTGGGGCAGGGTCTCAGGGGATCAACAGGGTGGAGCAAGCAGCTATGGCTGATCCTCAGCCTTCCCTAAGGGGCTCCGCATCTCAGTGTCTCGGTAATTGCTGCAAGCACCTCGGAGAGAAAGCCGCCCTCGAGTTCTGAGTTCTGCCCGCTGCCAGACCATCTAGTCTCTCCCTACACCCAGGGACTTCCTGGAACCGGAGTTCAGAGCAGTCGAGGGCTTGTGACTCCCTCCTGATTCAAAAAGACAGCCGAATCCTCAGTCGCCAGCCCTTGCCGCGTGCGCCTCCGTACCTCTGCACTCCACCTCCGCAGCTCCTCTGAGTGTCAGTGTGCTTTTCTCTTTCCTTCTAGTTGTAGAATTTCCACTCAGCCAGCCTTCTTGTAGTTCTGGATGATATCCGTTTTGTTTTTTCATTGTATTTTTGAAGTTGTTGTGGGAGGCAGCAATTTCCAGTGTTTACCTATGCTGCCATCTTGGTTTCTTCTGAAAGTAGGTTCTGAGGGTGGAATTAGTCTTTAATCATGGAGTTTAATCAGAAAAACAAAACCCACCAAGTAATTTAACATTTCTGAAGCAGCTGGAATTCTTTCTGGAAAGAACTGTTTTGGGCTCTCCGTGATCGATTTTTGGATGTGAACAAAGTGGTTTTGTTGTTGTTACTAAACTAACATTTTTAATGCTAATTACATTTTTTTCTTATGAGTATATGACAACTAATATTTTATGATCACACATATTATAAAGTACATCATTTTAATGATAGCTTTTGGAGAAGAAAACCCAAGCCACACAACTATAAATTCACACATTAATTGTAAGCAACTATATACTCTGGTTTCATAAAGGTTAAAGTGTGGGGGGAAACAGTCAAAACTTAAGGAAAGAGGATAACATTTTTTATTCAGAGTGCATGATCCTCATGGGAAGCAGGTATACATTAATGTTTAATTGGAAAGATGCCCATTGACGTTGCTTTCATGCACACTTTGATACTTGACTCAGGATAGCAGGATACTTCTCTGTTTACTTAGTGCAGCCTTCTTGGTGCTCTATTTCTTTGGAAATACTTTCTTAAAGAGGGTTGGAGTTTTGATGAGACTTGAAGTACCATGTGCTTTCTGTGCGCTTTTCCTTTTCATTTCCATAGTTCCCACTCTAGTTTAGATGCTGTTTTTGCTTGGGTTGTGGTAGCAGTCTCCATCTAGTCTTTCAACAAAAGTTTGGGGCTCTCCCTGCCAAAAACAGTATAAAGCATGTTACTCTACATAATCCTTACGTTACACGTATGAACTGCAGGTGGTATTACTGCTTTATGGGATAAAAGAACATATATTCATCCTTATCGGCCATCATTTTTATCCTGTCTCTCTCTTACTTAAAACTCACCATATACCTGCTTCCCATGAGGACCATACACTCTTTTCTAAGTGTATGAAAACCAAATTCTAACAGATCCCTGGAATGCAACTCACCTACCTCCTCCCAGTGTGGTTTCATCTTGTAGCGTTGGTTTTTAGCGCTTCTTATCAGCCTTCATGTCATCCTTTGAAAGTGTCTTGTGCCCTCCCTCATTTAAGATGGTCTTTCTTCTTTTCCATTCTTACATGTCTTATTTCAAGACTTGGGAATCTTTTCCAGAGAAATCCTTCCTCAGTTTGTTGTCCCTGCGTTAGAGTCTTTCTGTTGACAAGGAATGGAAGTGATCTCAGTTAACGGATTTACGTATTGTAAGGAGGACAGAACAGCCTCAGCCGCTGAAAGTGGCCAGACAGCTTCCCTCCTGCTCTTCTGGACCAGTGGGAGCTCAGGTTGTGGGTGGCCGCAGTTCTGCTAGACCAGCCGTGGGCAAACTACGGCCCGCGGGCCGGATCCGGCCCGTTTGAAATGAATAAAACTAAAAAAAAAAAAAGACCGTACCCTTTTATGTAATGATGTTTACTTTGAATTTATATTAGTTCACACAAACACTCCATCCATGCTTTTGTTCCGGCCCTCCGGTCCAGTTTAAGAACCCATTGTGGCCCTCGAGTCAAAAAGTTTGCCCACCCCTGTACAGTAGTGGTCAAGTCACCCATGTCATCTTTCTGTTGTTAACCCCTTGTCACCAGCTGCCATTCCAGGATTCAGCCACCTCAGCCTCTGCTGTTCTGGGATTTCTTCTGAGGCATGGCCACTGGTGGATAGTGAATGAGCATCTTGCACAGTCCATCCTTTGGAACTCAGTCCTTTTGAGACTTAGTGTTTTTCTTGTTCTGCATATCATTTTTCATTTACTTTTTTTGTAACCAAAATCATGTTCTTTTTACCATCTCATTCTACTTTGGATTTCTTGAGGACAACTGCTACTTCTTTTATTTTATATCTATTACAACAGTTCATAGTACATTTAGTTCAGTAAAAATTTCAGTGGATTACTGATTTAATAGGTTCTTTCAGTGGAATTATTTTTTAGTTATAGTTTTGCTTTCATATTAAATATTGCCACTGACATTGAAACTCCTACAGGTATGCAAGAAGGTTAAAGCTCGAAGCTCAAGGGAGATGCTGCGTGTGGACAGGTATTAGTAGTAGAGGGGAGATGACTCAGAGTTGACAGTCTGGATTTCTGTCCCAGCTTTGTTGCCCTTAAATGTATAACTGGCATAACCTTTCTAGACTTCACATTCCTGAGCTGTGAAATGGGGCTACTAATGGTATTTCATAGGATGGTGAGGATTAAACACTATACTATGTGTGACATGATAAGCATAGTATCTGGCACATAAGTGTTTATGTGCAGTGTTGGAGAGGTTGTGTGTGAGGGAGCCCTTAGAAATTATTTTTTAAGTTGGTATGACTTAAAAAATGTTTGCAAATATGTGTTTGTGTTAAGAAATTAAATAGGTAGTATTTTTGTTTTTTAATTTTTTACACAGTGATGTAAAAAAATAGTAGCAAAACAATTGAATTTGTGGATTATCCTCAGTTGGCTGAGTGCTGGGCCACTTGAGTGACCTCTATATTTTACAGTATTCAGTGCTGAGTGGGGTTTATTTTCTAAGATTCTTAAGAAGGAGGGTAGGGCTTTTTGAATTCTAATAAACCTACAGTGTGGTTGTTGGATATAGAGTTTTAGATCTAGAAGAGAAATTTTCTGGTTCAGTCTCTTCAGGAAGATTTGTTATGTGAACAGATATTTGACTATTTGTCCTAAAGATGCTTAGAGATAACCAACTCTTGAAAATAGTTTATTCCTGTGTCCTGACAGTTGGTGTGTATGCGTTTGTAGGTAGGTATTTTTTCCCCTCTGTTAAACTAACAATGATTTCTGCTGGTACATTTCTTTCCAATTGGTCTTTCTTAGAAAAGAGTGGTCTTATGTGAAGTTTAGAAACACTGAGTGCTTGGTCTGCTAGAGAGGGTCAGAGATACCTTCTGAGCAGAACTTTTACCCAATGAGTCAGGTGAAGTTGTATTTTTTGGAGGAAAAAGTACACTATAGTGTCTGTCTAAACTATCTGTTAAGATAGCTATCTGCCCTCTTAGCTGTCTTTTTTTTAGGTTTCAGAACTTAAATATCCTTTTATCTATTTTTCTTAAGCAAATTGATTTCCCTCCTCCCAGTTATCTATTTGTGGAAAAATACATTAGTTGAAACTGACCAAAGTTTTTTCTTTTTTAAAAATATGTTTTTATTGATTTTAGAGAGAGAGGGAGAGAGAGAGAGAAACTTTGATGAGAGAGAAACATCAACATTGATCAGCTGCCTCCTGCACGTCCCCCTAGCTCCCAAACACACCCCCATCTCCTCCCCCAATTAGGGATCGAGCCCGAAACCAGGAGTGCCCTAATCTGGAATCAAATCTGCGACCTTCCCTGTGCATGGGTTGACTCATAACCACTGAGCAACACTGGCCAGGCAAGGTTTTCTTTTTAACAATGTAAACTCTAACTTGATTCTTAAGTGAGATATAGAGATGGAGGCATAGGTGAAACCAGATAGCATTTGTGCTTGATTTGTATTCCAGAAGCTCTTGTGGTTAAAGAAAGGTTGAAAACTATTGCCTTGAATGATCTTCAGCTTTTCTTTCTGGAAGCCATCCTGATTTTTCCAGTTTTCCTTGGTACACTAACCAGAACTAAATAGCATAGTCACCGAGGAAACATTAATTGAACATAGAGTGAACAGATTTCTATCTCTGTTCCACATCCTGTTGCTTTTAACACATCTCTGTATCGTGTCAAATGTTTTCATAGTGGTTCTGTGTAGGTAATTGTTACATGTTGCTTGTGATCAGTTCTTACTTTTCCCTCTATATTTATGGCTAATAAGTTTCTCCTATTTTGTGAAAAATATATGTTGAATCTAACTGTCATAATCTTTGGGAGACTTTGTATTTCATCCAAGTTTACATTTTATTCTTTTTTTCACTAACAACCCCATCTGATAAAATTCACCATGTCTATTTTTTGATGAGTATACGTTTAATTTTTTTCTTTATCTGACTTGTCACTGAAGATTCTGATCTGATAGCGTGAATATCACATCCAGCCTTTTCTGGCTGATTCCATATGATTTTTTTGTGCAAACCTCTTACCAGTGGTTCATTTAACTAAAAGTGGTGTGGTCAGTCCCTGACCATGTGGTATTATTTCTTTTTATTGAAATTGTCCTTTGGAGTAGAGTTAAAAGCATTACTTTAAGATATTATAGTTGTTAATTCTCTTTTGTTTTGTTTTTAAGCCTAGTTTTCTCTCCCCTGTTTACTGGAATTAAAGCCATGTGTCATTTGCTAATACCTTGTCAAATTTATTTATTGAACTGTTAAATTATAGGCTAAAACAAAATGGATTTAAAATGACTTATAATTAAATTGTGTTAGTAGCATTTGACTTCTGTTTCCATAGTAAATACATAAACTGGGAAATTCTCTCTTTTAAGCAGAAATCAAACTCATAACTAATAAACCACATCTTGGAAGTTTCTTGAACTCCTCCCTCTCTTTTAACTAATACTACAGTGTAATAACCCTGGAACTTTCTGTAAAGTTTATTTTCTGGAAATGTAAAGTATTACACAGTTGCCAATACACAATCTGAGTACAGAGTGTTTCTGAGAAAGTAATGTCCACTCCTGGAGCATGTGGAAACTTTTTTTCTTTTCCTTCCAGAGTAGCACAGAAGAGGGAAGATGCTGTTTCCAAGGAAGTGACTCGAAAACTTTCTGAAGCTGATAATAGAAAAATGTCTCGGAAGGAAAAAGATGAAAGGTTTGACTCCTTGTTTAACGTGTTTGTGGTAATCAAAGGAGGGGATACTTTGTAGAAGTTTTTGATTTCTGCTTAGAGAATGTGGGTGTCGGAATTGTCTGAGGCAAACATTGGTATTGTAGAAAAGATAGTAATGGGAACAACTGACTTTGAGTTTTTATTCCTGCCTTTGAGCTGTACACAGGTCATCTATTTCTCTAAAGAGCCCTAAGAAGGTAGGTAATATTGTTATCTCCATTGTACACTTCGGGGAAACAGGTAGAGAAAGCTTCAGTAACTTGATCAAGGCTTCACATTAGTGGGAGGTAAAGCCATGGTAAGACTACAGGCATCTGGCTTGTACTCATAACTGCTCTGCTGCAGAGCTTTGTCTGGTGCCTGTGTGACCTTGAACTTATCACCTAACCCCCCTCCCCACCCCCCTGGGTCTGAAAAGTTTACATTGTGTTATGTGTTAGCATTTTTACGTGGTGGTATTTCTGTTACTGAGCTTCCGGTCTGAGTTATCTGCTTTGGGAAAAAGAAAAAAACTCAGTTTGTCTCCTGTTGCACAGTCCTGTGCCACATTTGTTAGTCCTGGCCCCCGTCCCCAATATTTCCTGTCAACTGCTCTGAAAAGGGGTTAATAGACAGTCTAACATCTGAGCAGCAGAGGTCTCTGAACGATTGAGTAGACTTGTGCTTCAGAGCTGCCAGATGGTTGAATAGAGTCATGGATTGAGGTTGTTTTCATGGACCTTAAATTTTAGTATCTCAAAGTGGTTTGTGAAATGGCATTTTTATCCCACTTTGCTCCAGGAAGACTTTGTGGGAACTTGCAATATGCAAGTGTGTGTAAAACAAAGCAATGCAATTTTAAAAGATCAGAAACCATTTAAAAGTAAGAAAAAGTGGATGAACAGGGACCTCATAGTTAGTTACAGCAGTTGAGCACTAAACTTAGCTCTGAGCGTCCAAGTGTCGGGAAGCATCTGAGGTCATGCTGCTTTCATTGTCCGACGAGAAGCAGTGTGCCAGTCCTCCTGAAAAGAAACTTTCCTGGCACTGAATCTGGAAGGACTTTATCAAGTGGATCCTTATTTAAGGGACACTGAGTAACTTAATGAACAATGTTTTCTACAGTGGTTTTGGAAAGGCACCAAATATTGAAGTGATTATCTCCTATGGATCTTTTATAAAACTGAAGGCACAGTACTAAAGTCATGACAATAAAGGCCTTTTTTTTTTTTTTTCAGAGAATAGCTTTAATGAGTTCTAGCTGCATAGCTTTTTTTTTTTTTTAATGTTTTTATTGATTTTTAAAGAGAGCAAGGGAGAGGGATAGAGTTAGAAACATCAGTGAGAGAGAAACATCATCAGTAGGCTGTCTCCTGCACACCCTCTGCTGGGGATCGAGCCTGAAACCCAGTGCCCTGACTGGGAATTGAACCAGTGATCTCTTGGTTCATGGGTTAACACTCAACCACTGAGCCATACTGGCCGGGCTAGCTGCATAGCTTTCTGAATGCAAATTTTTGCAAAGGGATGGAGGTTAGAGAATTTAGAACACTTTTTAAAAACCCTTTTATTGAATTAAGATATTTATTATACTAATAGTTATTAAACTGAGCGCTTATCATAGTTAACCAGTTTCAAAATGCTTGTTATAGCTCTTGTAGGTTTCAGGTGATTAGTTATATCAGATAGTAAGTGAGTCTCATATGCCCACAGCAGACTTGCCTGATTTGGTCTGCACTTGTTTTTGATCTTGGGATGTGTCTTGGAATTTTTCTCAGCAAGTGGTATTCAGTTAATCACTACTAATGAGTCAGAGTTGGAATTGGAAATGAAACCTCAGTGCCATTGGCTGGACCAGATATTTCAAAGGAGAATGAAGTTTCATTGAGACATAAAATGCAGAGTGTCAGAAGAGTGTAAAATTTCTATTGTTATCAGTAAAAATTTGTGCTGTTATTTGTTTTGTATTCCTCTCACAAAAGCCACACTGGATACAGTTGTACCCAGGTCTATATTCATGACTCACTCTGATAACTGGGACCATTTATAATCTAATATTTTTCTTCTTCAAAGGAGGGATTTGATTTAAGAGAAGGCTTATCAGCACTTCTTTGCAGTGGTGCATATCTGTCAAAGCTCCCATCTATAGTCATTTAGAGTATATGGCACTTTGAAACTGCACTGCCATCCATTCAAGGATGAAATTAGGAGAGGTGATCAGATTTATTAATATTTGCCCCAGGGTGTGAGTGTTATTTCTCCCTGACTTACCAATGATCTGTCATTTACCATGATCTGATTGTAATAGTTGTTGAGTTTGGTATCAGCTTTTCTCTTGTTGTAGAAAGTACTCCTTGGAAAAAAGACTCCTTGGAAAGTGCACTCTCAAACTAGATTTCCTAACAGGGAAGCTTTGGCGGAACCATTGCTAGTGAGGCCACTTGGGAGTCCTAAATTTTTTCAAAATGAACCAGGATATGTGTAGACTAGAAAATGTTTTAAAAGCTGTCATGCAGTCCTGACTATATACATGGATGTAATGCACACTGATTTTGGGAGCTGGGGTAACCTGCAGGATTGAGCTATTTCTTTCATCAAGGCTGTTTTGAAGATGTTTCTGATTCAGGGCATGACAGGGAGTTAGGGAGAAGTGCTGTGATGGAGGGGGGGATAATTAATCCATAGTAAAGGCATGCTAGTAGCCTTTTTAAGGACCCTGTCTTTATTAGGTCTTGTGCCAGAGTCTTAAAACCAGAGGCAGTTGTTCTGTGCATTAAATCATGTTGGGTCTATGCATCTTTCTGAGCTGGTGTTTTCTTTGATCAATTAGTGCTAGAATGGTATAATGTATCTCCTCCCATTCCAAGTCATATATTTTTTACATTTACATTTAAACTTCTTTGAAATCAGGAGCTGTTTTATAGTTGATAGCTGCATTGAATGTAATATCCTTCACTTCTTCCAAACTTATAGTAAATTGGAGATCTATTACGTTAATGATATCCATAGAATTAAGAAAACATGGCAAATATGTTAGAGGTTGCAAATTTCTTATGATGGAGATAAGGTGCTAATACTCTTCATTTAGCTCCTTTATGCTTGTTGAATTTACATTAGAAGATTTAGTGAACAAAACATGGCAGCTTCCAGTGACATTAGCCATAGTGTTGTCCATAGGATCCATGGAGGGTGTCTGACTGGGAATTAAATCGTGACCTCCTGGTTCATACATAGATCAAAGCTCAACCACTGAGCCACACCAACTGGGTGGAAAAACTTACTTCACAATGAACTAGAGCCATGTGGTATTTAAAATTTTTAAAACATAAATTCAGTTCACTTGTTTCTTTGTCTACAGAATCTTGTGGAAGAAGAATGAAGTTGCTGATTATGAAGCTACAACATTTTCCATCTTCTATAACAACACTCTATTCCTGGTCTTGGTCATTGTTGCATCCTTCTTTATATTGAAGAACTTCAACCCCACAGTGTATCCTTTTAAAGATTGATTATGTTTTTTAGAAATCTAGAAATAGTAGTTTCTTTTGGTTTCATGTAGGGAGTCAGTTTATTAAATAGCACTGTGACCTTAGGCAAGTTTCTGAACATTTAAAATAAGGGCTTTTGGTTTGATGTAAAATTCTTTCAAGTTTATGACTTCATGGCAAGTAACTATAAATAGTCTCACACATATGATTATGTATACCCGCCTACTTAAAAAAAGAGTTCCAAGGAGGAAAAGCAAACTTGCTCTCTTTGATAGCTCTTGATGTAAGCCATGTGTCTATTGATATTTTGGACTTTGGGATTGGGTGGATAGCCAGTTTAAATAGGCACATTTCATAATATTTTAACAGTGTTTCAAGCTGCTCTTAAGTTGAGCTTTCTTAATTTATTAAAGGTGCTAAGATAATTTATTAAAGCTTTTATCCAGGAATGTGCAGCCAAATTTTTTAACAGTTGGAGATTTTGATGTAATAAAATGTGACACTCTTCAACTTATATCTTCTGGAGGAGTGGTTTGTCCCAAACAGACCAGTCCTGAGGCCAAGAGTAGCTGCAAACTTTCAGAACCTCCTTACTTTTATAGGCCCACTGTGGCCAGTACACTGATGGAGAGGGGAGAAAGGACAAGACGTCTCTTCTTCCTCCCCATGGTCTTTGATCAGCTCTTCTGAAGGTTAAATGGAATTTGAGTGTTTTCTTTGTGGTCATGTATTCTAGGTTTCTGTCTCAAGTGTTTTTAAATTTTCTGTGAATATTCTTTATAGTCTTGTGTCTTGTAAATTACGTTTACAGACAATGGGACCACATAGCATTGTCATTAGGCAGAGTGTCAGGAGGGAAGCAGTATATTCCAAAGAGATGGGCTTGTTTTGTTTTGTTGAAAATTAATTTTGGGTTCTTAATTTTTCCTTAACATTAAATTTTTACAGGAACTATATTCTGTCCATAAGTGCTTCATCAGGTCTCATCGCCCTCCTGTCTACTGGCTCCAAATAGACCGTGCCAGCTTCACCCTTGGCTTTGTATCTATGGGTGGTCTGTGGTGTATGGAAAAGAAGCCGGGTGGTCGGGGTGGGAGACACACAAGATGTTTTTATAGTCTGGAGCTTGAAGGTTTGAAAGACCCAACAAAATGTAATTCAATATTTGTTTATTGGCTCTTTTTTGACAAACTGTTGAAATTACATGAATTGGAAAGGAAACTCAGAGTACCAGGACATTTATTAAAAAGGCAAATGTGTCTGGCAATGTGCTACAATTACAAGAGGAGAAAATAACTTGTTTCCTTGATCTGTCAGAGGTCACAGTAACCTGGACTGAACTGTTAGTATTTGTTATAGTAGCAAGAAGTTAATAGCTGGTTCTGTGTGTTCCAAGCACAATATTACAGCTTTTTTTGAACCATTAATATCAGAGTGAATCCTCTTTCCTCCCTTTTCCCCTGCCTGGGGGGTGGGATTGAATGCATGTTTACAAATCTCTGAATATGTGATTTGAAATAACTCAATAAAAGTTGAAAACATGGTTTCTCCAATTTGGGGAAAAGAAACTTGTGGAAAAGTTCTTCCTTTTTTAAAAAAAAAACAAAACAGAAGAAAGGCAGCCAAGGTAATAACCTAAAAATAGTGCCCAGGAGGAAGGGAGGGTGGAGACGGACGAGGGTATGGGAGGGATACATGGTGATGGGAAAACATAAAGAAAAAAATAAAAATAGTGCTCTGGCAATTGAGAGTTGTCCTGTGGGGTTAAAGCACACTGCTCAGCTGTACAGCTTTGGCCTTGAGTAGCTGGGGATGCCAATTTGACCCTCCATGTTAGTTTGACTTGTTGAGAGACTGGCATCATGGTTTTCTTAGAGTGGGGTCTCTGTCCCTGGAGGAGTGTTGGGTGAGAGAGAGAACCTCCCTCCTGAATATGGATGTAAAAGACCAAAGTAATTTTTGTGATCTTAGCTCCAGAATTCTAAGAGCATCCCAAGGATTAAAGTGATGTTAGTGCTTGTCATTATTTTCCCATTCATACGTTCATAAATTTGACCTTTAGACCACAGGTTCCCATTGATTGGGAATAAAATACTGCTTTTTTCAGTCCTTGGAGGTCCAGCTGAGAGCAATCTCTTGCATTTTTTAACCAGTGTGTGTACAGATATTACTAGTATGATTTTATGTGTGTGCCATGATTTTACAAAGTTTGGGAAGCTCTTGAACCTATATCACTGAAAGGTTGTGGAATCCCAGGAGATAGTAGTGGTTTCATATTCCTATTAGCTTTGACCACATCCAGTAATCATCATCATCATAATAAAAGGCTAATATGCAAATGGTCATCACGCCATGACACTGTAACGACCGGACAGTAGGAGGCTGCGTGCGAGGCAGGCGTGGGTGGGCAGGGACTTTCAGCGCCGCTGGGCAGGGACTTGCGCCAGCCCAGGAGGTGAGGCTGCCTCTCAGCCCGGCGCCTGGTTGGGGACAAGAAGCTGCCTCCTCGCCAAGCGCCGGACCAGGGGACGTGACTATCAATATTAAAATATTTCCTCTAATTTCCTTTTAATGTGCATGAATTTTGTGCACTGGCCCACTAGTTTCTTACAATAGTACCTCAAAGGAAATATATTCCTAATCCTAACTTTAATCTTTAGTTTCCACTTGTAAATTAAGATGAATGTTGTAAATAGTACTTGCTGTTTTATTTGTAACTGTACAGAAAGGTATTTATTGGGAGTTCATTTTTTACTTCCATGCTGTTAGATGTTTCTGTAGGCCACATCCAAGGACTTGGAAGGAACACAGGGAGGAATACACTTGCACAGTGACCCAGACCATCATTACCTTCTGAGGATTACAGTTCATCATTGCTTCTGGAAGTTTGCAGTTCTTTTCTTTGGTGCGTTATTCATGTGTCATCACTGGATAATACATAGTAAATGGGGATGCCAGAAGAGATTCACTGCAAAGTGGTTAGCTTTATTTTTATGTTTTAACCTGGTTTTTTTTTTTGGTTTGTTTTTTTTCCTGTTGATAAGTAACCAGTAAGTAATTTGACAAGTGGCATGGAGTTTATGTACCAAATGCATTTACTTAACTTGACAAAATGCCTCTTTGACAAACCATCAGCATCTACTATTTGTTACCAGAGCTGGGCCAAGTATCTTTTTAAATTGCAGGTAAAAAATCACCACTAGATGGCAGTGCCTGTATAGATGGGGGAAGAATTGCCACTATTGGAATAAGGCAATGTAGTTGAAATGGGGTGGTGAAATAGGGGCATCAGCTTAGTATTCTTTAAAGAGTTGCTCTTGAATTAATAAACTGAGTAATTTGTAGAAATGTAAGTAAGCAAAATTTGATTTTGGTTCGGACTTTTTCCTACAGCACCTTGTTTTTCATCCTGATGATTTTGAGCTTCCTATACTTGATAAATTTCTGTGCACGAGTTTATAGATGTACTCACAGTTCCACAGTTTTATGCAGGTTACCAATACTCTGCTCTTGCAAATTCCCCAGTCCTGTCTCCATCATCTGAAATGGCGGCCATGTGACACATAGAATTACAATGAGCTAATAAATCTGGGTTAGTTAGTAAAAACTTGCTGTAGAATTTTTATCTCAAAAGACCCTCAGATCCAGTAAAATAAAGGGTTCTGTTGTAATTGGGATATAAAGTGATTAAATCCCTTTTTCACACCCCTTGTGATAACTAGAGGCTTAAACTGTTGGGACATTTTACATTTCCCTATTTTTAGTTTCTTCATTTACAACTTAATAAAAATCTTGACTTGAAATTATTCTTAGCCAGTAAAAATGTACTGGTTGTTTTATGGGATAAATTATTCTAATTTGGAAAGAATAATTTGAAACAAGTTTTAAAGTTAACTGAAATATGGAGGTTGGATTCATATCAAATTCTTGTAAAAGGTCTCGCTAACTAAGTATCATTAAACTTTGCTTTTTAAAATTTATACTTTCCCTAGAGTCTTGATAAGAACCATGTGGCTGAGTACATCATCTTTAGTACGTTATCTTACATTACCCACCATTTAAATTTCCTACACATGTAAATGCATTTTTGTGGTCACTGTTCCGATATTTGTGTGGCAGTGACTGGCACAGTGCAGTTACATTACAGAGCAGAATGTCAGTCCTCTTTGCTAGCATGTGCCTGCTGTGCTATCCTGCCCGCCTTGTTTCTGTGTTTTCAGTATTTGTGCCAGTTATGCTGTTTCTGGAGACACAGTGGAAGGATATACATAGGCATGTACATATATTGAGAGAACCAATTTGTTGATACATGTTTTGGGCTGGAAGGGGTTATCTTTTGCCTGCTTGGACTCCCAAGCAGGGAAATTAATTGAAGATTAGGAGTGGTTTTTAAGTGGTTGGTTTAAATTTTCATGGAGGTGGTTAGAGACTACTTACTGGCCTTCATGAGTTTTAATTGTCTCACTTCTTTGACCTTTCCATCTTAACTGATTCTGAATTTGGCTTCATACCCAAGTTTTTTTTTTTACCTTAAAAATTCACACACAGTTCCTTCTTTACAAAGCTTTAAAGCTAAAAAAGAAAATTGTACCTAAAACAACACTGAACAGAATAACTTGCCTGGTTCTGCCATCAACCAGCAGTGTGAGTTTGGGCAAATCCCTCCACCTTTCCAGGCTCGGTTTCCTCATTTGCCAAAGAGGGATGGTCTTGAAGATGGCCTGCTATCTATCTGAACACCCTTGGCACACTGTTAAGATGAAGTGACAGTTCTTAAAGTGAGAAGTCAGGCACAGGGTTTCTAGTTTTCATTTCCCTTGGCTGAGATTTTAGTATGTGGATGGCTGCTACCCAGGTTACTCTTAGGAATGGTATGTTCTCTCCCAAGGAATTCTTTCCAAAATAGAAAATAAAATGAGAGTGCATGGAAATTTTTCTTAAGGATATAATTATGAAATATATTTCTTTTTTAAAAAAATACATTGATTTTTTACAGAGAGGAAGGGAGAAGGATAGAGAGTCAGAAACATCGATGAGAGAAACATCGATCAGCTGCCTCCTGCACACTCCCTGCTGGGGATGTGCCCGCAACCAAGGTACATGCCCTTGACCGGAATTGAACCTGGGACCTTTCAGTCCGCAGGCCAATGCTCTATCCACTGAGCCAAACCGGTTAGGGCTGAAATATATTTCTTATCTAGTATATTTACCATGGCAGATGACCTGTATATAAAAAAAAAGTTAGCTGTTCCTACAAGCAATAATGTTTATATTTGTTGTTGGTTTTTAAAATTCATCTTTATTGTTGCAAGTATTACAGATGTCCCCCTTTTTTCTCATTGACCCCCTCTACCCCATATCTGCAACCCCCTCCTGGCCTTCACCACACTATTGTGTGTCCATGGGTTATGCATGTGTGCATATAAGTTCCCTGGTTAATCTCTTTCCACGCTTCCCTCAGCCCCACCTTCCCTTTTGAGATTTGACAGTCTGTTCCATGCTTCTATGTCTCTGGATCTGTTTCGTTCATCAGTTTATTTTGTTCATTAGATTCCACATATGAGTGAGATCATGTGATACTTTTCTTTCTCTGACAGGCTTATTTCGTTTAATTTGCAGGCTCTTTTAAATGAGTTTGAGAAGCTTTAACCTTTAGTGTGTAGTATTTCTAAAACCAAATGAGAAATGATATCTTTAGTAGCTAATCATTTGCTCCATTAATAAGAAAAGTATGAATTGCAGTTCAAATCTTGATCACTGCTATTTCTGTTAGGTATCATTCAGTGTAGCTTACCTGCCAACATCATTTTTTTAAATGAGTCTTACTGTCCATTTTTTGGGACTGGATATATATACACTAGAGGCCCGGTGCACAAAATTCATGCATGGGGAAGGGGTCCCCTCAGCCCAGCCTGCAACCTCTCCAATCCGGGACATCCCTCTCACAATCCTGGACTGTTGGCTCCTAATCGCTCACCTGCCTGCCTGCCTGGTCGCCCCCTCTGCATGCCGGCCTGATTGCCCCTAACTGCCCCCCCTGCCAGCCTGGTTGCCCCTCATGGCCTCCCTGCCAGCGTAGTTGCCCCACGCAGCCTGCTCTTCAGTTGTTTGGTCATCCCTCACTAGCCTTCCTGCAGGCCTGGTCACTCCTAACCGCCCCCCCCCGCTGGTCACCCCTTACTTTCCCCACCACCGCAGGCCTGGTCTTCAGTTGTTTGGTCATCCCTCACTAACCCCCCTACTGGCCTGGTCGTAGGCAGCCATCTTGTGAGGGTGTGAGGTTTAATTTGCATATTACCTCTATTATATAGGATATATATATATATATGGCCTTATAGTGAAAGAAAGGTCAGATAAAAACTAATTGTGAGATTAAATGCACAAAATGCTTTTATTACTCTACTCAAATTAAGTTGAATTGCAGTTTGAATTAGACAACTTCAGCTCATTTATACATACAGTAAGTATTCACTGGATTAATTGAATGTACAATGAACAATAAAAAAATGATCCATTTCCATCTTTCTGATATTCTGGGGCAAAAACCCAAACTATTTCCTTAATTGAA